ATTAAAGAAAATTTAGAACTACATGTTAATTAAATTGAAAAAGAAAATAAATAATTTCTTTTTTTTGTATTATTTAAATTGGGGCAGAAATTCTAAGCACCATCTTAACGCATATATAAGTAAACGTATGACTTTCATTTACTGTGCATAATTTGGGAGTAAGGAGGGCTGAATAACAATTCATATTTTGAATTTTTCGTCAGGATTGAAAACCAGAATAATCCCCAAATCTCTCGCAGAAGATTCATGAACATTTTTCTTATATTTCTTTTATTCTCGATTTGAAAAAAGTCAAATGTTGAACAAGTTTATTCAGCCACCCTATCTCTGAAAGAGAACCAGACTTAAAAAGGGTGTCTTCAAACGTAATAAAACTATACTTATTTTAAGTTGCCAAGTAAAGATATTTATATTTACCACCTGAAAAATATAATTTCCCCTCTCAAAACATTACTTATATTATAACATTTTCCCTCTTTTAGAGAAATATCAGTGATAAGTCAAAATATTTACTTCGCTATACTTAATGTAAAAACATGTATCCTCAGATTACTTTTATTAGAAATTAAGATATTTTTTTCAGCATTTGATAAGTTTTAAGGTTATTTGATGCTTCTGAAAAATTATTTATTTTTGAATAAACTACGCTTACAGAGTGGAATAGTCAGATATTGAAAACTTTAGAATTCCAGCTCAACCTATAAGTTATGGAGATGCCCTTCCAATATTGAGGTACGTTCCATTAAACTTTTATAGTTATTCCCAGAACAGGATTTGGCAGTGTGGATAGGGGTCTAAACAAATTTTATGTGTTCATTCACTATTTATTCTTATCAATCATTGTTGATTACTATTTTAAAAATACCCCGAACTGATGACATGTAATCACACTAGTCTCACTGCTTTATCTAATTGAAAAAACAAAAAGAGTTTGTGAAATATTGAATATACGGCAATCTTTATACAATTAAAAGGATGTTTATGAGGAAAAGGCTTGGCAAAAGCAAATATCCGTGAAATAAAAGAATACTAGTATGTGTATACCTCATTTGGCATCAACCAGCTGTGTAATATCAGTCTCCGGAATTCAATACAAACTTGATGTAATGAAAAAGAGATCTCTGATGTCTATAGAATTTCTTAAAATATAAGGAAGAGGAGAAGTCCGTGTATTCTTAGAATTCTCAATATACTCCATCCCTCTGGTTGCTTCTGTGTGTACTTCGAATTCTCTACATACTTTGTCCCTCTGATTGCTTCTTTCTCATACTTTTTTCGTCCATTACCAACTATTTGTTTTCCATATCTCAGATATCTCCACTTTTATTATATTATTTGACTCTCTTCTGACATGCTTTATCTAGTTTCATACTCTAGCATGCGTATTCGGCAAACTTTAACAGTCTGCTATTGTTTGTGTACTATCCTTGCATAACAAACGGCTCTTTGGATTTTATCCTTTTCCTTTTCATCTTCGAATTTATCTGTTTCATCTCAAGTGAATTCAGATTGAATCATCTTCAATAACTTTATCGTGCTTTATGGGGACATTCAGTAGGTACACGGTGGACTATTACTAGAGTTCAAGTATTCCGTTTTTTGCTTGTTGACCGCCGTCTCTTGTTCATGCCGATACAATCTACTTTAGACACTTAAACGAAGGTCAAGATAAAAGTTGACAATGTTTTGTTTCCCGTTTCAACGTACATTAAAACTCTTGTGGTTGTGTTTCGAATATTTTAATCTATAAGATGTGATAATGCTCAAGAACGTTTGTAGATTATATAAATTGCGAGTAGAACCAACGCGGACTTTTTAATACAGAATGGATCAGGTGCAATAGACCCTGTCGACCACTGTATGGCATGATACGCCAAATTGGAAAGAAGACAAATCAGTTTAAAGATATTGACCTTACAATAAAAATTTAGTGTATAGTAATTTCCTTGAATTTCTAAAATATTTAAGAAATAAACAACATTATTCAGTAAACATGGCGTTATGAATAGCAATTGCCCTGCTGGCATATTCCATGATGCGCGCTAGCGCATCACGGAAAATATGCCAGCAGAGTTATTGCTATTTATAATGTCATGTTCAATGAATAATAGTTGTTTATTACTTATATTTGCATTCTTTGATGTTGTCAAGAATATCAGAGGAAATCCTGGCTAACATAAGGTTGCGGCTTGTTGTCTTCAGTAAATAAAAACTCACATCTATAAAATCAGTATACCTGATCATTGTACCTTTTTTCTTATAAATCACAAACAATTTATAAAGTATTTGCCTTTTAAACACAGTTATCTGGATACAAGCTGCGCCGTCGTCACATTCTCTTAATTTTTGTTTTCATGCAGTTGTGACGTCATTGATCAGCGTTATTGAAACCCTATGACAAAAATCAATGATTTAACACTATGATGAAAAAAGGCAAAGCTTTAATACAGATTATATCTCCAGAATGCTTTATATGATTTTTTTTAGTGCTTATATTTATTTTTAGAGCGGAAATCCTTCTTGAAATAGATATACTATTAAAGAAATGTTGTTTTTTTTAAATGTTAAAACGTCCAAGTGTGAAGACTTATTTGTGGAAATATGAAGACTTATTTGTGGAAATATGCGAAAATATGATAAGAAAAAATAAAATATGACAGTTCTCTTCAATTTTTAAAAAGGTTTATTATACAATTAAAAACATTGACCAAAATAAAATTTTTAAAGATTAAATCAGCAATTTTAAATTATTCTGAATTTCTTTATTTCCAAAGAATATTATTAAAAACTTATATTTATTCCTTTTGCAAAACATTTCATATAAATGCTTCTGAACACACTATGAAAGTGTAGTAGAGCTTGTGCTACACGAGTGTGAATAGCCAATTGCATTCATAGTCGAAGCAATTGCGTCTATAGTCCTATGAATGCAATTGATGACTGCACGTTCATAGTGAGAGAAAACAGTGGATATGCAAATATAAGTAATAAGATATCATTTTTTGAGTTTTATTGGGATGTAATACGGGTTGGCAAATGATCAAATCTTCAATAAAGCCCTTCGGGCTTTATGGGATTTGATCACGTGACCGACCCGTTTTACATCCCAATAAAACTCATAAAATGATACCTTATTTCTTATGTATTGTATGTATTTTTTGGGGTGCATTTTTGCATTTCATGTCAATAAAGAGTCACCCTCACACTAAAGTGTCGAGTTGTCGAAGCAAGAAAGCAATTCTTCGGGTTTTTTTTTTCTTTCGAGAATTGTTACGGTACTTGTAAATGATTGCACAATCTTTCACAAGTTAAATAGTCTATTATTAATTTCCTTACGTGAAGTTTATTTTATTTATAGAGAAATGGCCGGGGAAGAGGTCCCGCCTGATTGGAGAGGAGCCCTTCCTATAACGTATAGATTAGGACCAGGATTCAGAAATTCTAGTCTGTAAGTTCTAAACTCGGTGGAACGAGCTTCATGAAGTTTTTTTCTTATACTTTGGATTCTGTAGCCCTAATGTTCAGAACACCAGCAAATTGAAAATTGCAAAGTGTTGGAATCACACGAATTATAAGTTAATATACTTATAGTAAAAGTATATTATTCCCTTGGTAAAATTCTTTTAAACATTGAAGATTTCGGTACTTTTATTTCATCTGGTATTCAATATTTCAAAGAAAAATATTTGTCGGTGAAAATAAAATAAAATAAGAGATATTATTTTATGATCTTTTAAAAATCTTTTTTGGTCATCCTCTCGCACAAATTATGAGATAAAGATCAGTACATCAATTAAGTATTCTATGTGAGTCCCACTGCTTTTCTATGATAAATACTTGTATTGTAGGAGAATTCGTGTAGAGGTCAATAACTTTGAAGAGAGAAGAATAGTTGAAAATGTTATTGGCTACATCAAAGGCGCAAAAGAACCAGGTCACGCATTTTTTAATTAAAATTAAGTAATAACTTATGATTTTTACAGAATTGCTATGCAATTTAATTTAAAAAATAACTTATTATTCTATAAAATATATTTGAATTTCGCAATAAATTCCCCAGAAAAAATAGGAAATTGTGTTAAATTAATACCCTCATTTTGTTTTAATACCTACGTCTGTATCATATTCTTGAAAGATATATTTTTACTTTTATTTTCTTTCAATTTTTGACATTGATAAGTTACCCCAGCATTTCACATGTTTTCCACTCAATAATGTTGAAATTTATATAAAATGTTTAACATTTACTAAATTGTTTTAATTATTTATACAGACAGATATATTTTACTCGGTAACCATCACGATGCGTGGGTGTTTGGTGCCATTGATCCACTCTCAGGGACTGCCGTTATGACGGAACTTATACGGGTATTCGGAGAGATGCTAAAATCTGGTAGGGTAACTTTGTACAATTAAATACAATGTCATATAACATCTTTTTATATTTTGCTGCGAGTGCTTGAAAATAAAAATCCAAGATACTCAAACATATTTAGCTCTATTGGCCAGAGACCAGAAGTGCTTGTGCGGTAGTAGTGTGTCTGTCGACCGTCCGTCTGTCTGTCTGTAAACAATTTTTCAAAAAGCTACTCCTACTACAGTTTTGGTTTTGTTTCAATGGCTACTAAAATATATAAATTTTGTGAAATACCTGTACATTCAAAATGCTACTCCTCCTACAGCATTAGTCCGATTTCAATACAAAGGTGAACTACACTAAGATACATAATTATGTATATTGGTTTTATATTTTGATAAATTTTGTCTAATAAAAAATAGAAATATTAAAAAATGCTACTCCTCCAACAGATTTGGTCTGATTTCAATGTAACTTGGCACACAAGTAGCGTACACTAAGATACATAATTCTGATTATCAGTTTTTGATTTCGATGAACAGTGTCTTTGTAACTAAAATTAGAAATTTCTTTGATATCTTTTGAAAATGCAACCCCTCCCTCCCTTTCAATATCATTTTGCACGCAAGTGACTACGCTTCTAGGTGCATAATTTTGCATTTGATAAATGATGCTGCCATTATTAAAAAAAAAAAGAATAGAAAATTCTGTAAAATTCTTTAAAAATGTTTCTCCTCCTACAGTTTTAGTCTGATTACAATAAATATTGCCACATAAAGAGACTTAATCAAGGATCATTATTGAATATAGGTACTCGACCTGACCGCACCATTGTGTTCTGTGCCTGGGGAGCGGAGGAACATGGCTTAATAGGATCCAATGAGTGGGTTGAGGTAAGAACGATAACTTGTTTATCATTAGAACATAAACAGGGTTGTCTTCCTTGGTTTACATTTTTTCTACTAGCGTTAAAAAAGATATGACAGAAATAGGTAATCTGATCAATTTTAGTCGACTTATTTTTACCATGAAACACCATAACGTCTGTTTGCAATGGGTTTATTTTCTTTCTGACATTACTTTATTATGTGAACTTTATTTATTTATTTAAATGTCTTTATTTCTGAAGAAAGATAAGTTAGAAATTCATGGATAATTTATTGCTTAACGTTTGCAGTATTTCAAATGGTAAATATATGGGGAAAAGGTGTATATATGTCTCATTCCTAACCTCGATATAAATGAAGTGAGAGGTTAGTTACTCTAAGGGTGTGTCAAAACTTTTACTTTGGAATATGGATAGAAAGTACCTGATGAAGATCAATATTCCAATTGAAATGTAAACATACTAAGCTGAAGAACTTATTTCTCCAATTTTGTGGTCAACAGACCGTCTATATCCCAATATTTCAGGCCAGTGCGAGCTACATGTCTGCAGCTAAAACATGCCCAGTATGTTTATATTTGGGTCATTTTCAAAAAAAGTTCATTTTTTTGAATGACATATTTTTGAAAAATGAAAGTGGTTTTACTATGATTTTTTCATCTTTATTTGAATAATACAGTAATAAACTACTAAAATCCACTGCATTGCAGAAAAGAAAACTATTTCCTTTAAAAAATATTGACATTTTGTCTAAGTCATTTAAACTTTAATGTCCTTCCTGTTACTTTCATAAAAAGAGCTGTAAAACTCCATTTTAAAATTTTCATCAAATAATCTTTTGTATATCGTTAAAAATTGAAAAAAAAATTATCATTGACTGCCGAGATGTTTGACATTCATCTAATATATGAGCGTTTAAAAGCATGTCAAACTACCATATACCAAACAGAAGCAAACTCCACGGGTTTCTCTTCATGAAAAACCTTATTGCGGAATGTTTATATACTATAGTTGAAAACAACATTCTTATACATTATTTTTGTGCTTAGAATAAACAATTACAGAAAGTTATTTAAATAGGTGCTCTGCCAAAGCAATTTAATCTAGGTAGATATATTGGTAACAGTAAGGACTCGGGTAACAGGAAGGACAAAACAGTAACAGGATGGACAAAACAGTGTAACAGGATGGACAATGAAATCTACATTTTAAATAAAAATTGACTTTTTCTAACTTTATTGGTTAAGAAAAGAGAAAGAAATGTAGAATAAAAACATGATTCTGTCAAATCTGGCAAATTCGAGACAATAAAGGATATTTATGTCCATCCTGTTACGAAATTTAATTGTAAAGTTCTATTAAAATATTTATCACTTCATTTTTTGTTTATAAATGTTATACTCTATGCTGTTACAAAACTAAGAATTTTTCATAGTTTTAAGAAAAACAAATGATAAAACTTAAATAGGTATATGAATACCAGGATAATTTGTCCCTCTTGTTACAATATCTGTCCATTCTGTTACAAGAGTGTATGTTTAAGTTATAATGGCACTATTTGAAGCATTAACATATTTCAAAATGATTTACGAAGTTTTTCAACATGTGTTGTTAAACGTATATTACTTAGAAAAATAAAAGTAATTGTTTTTATTGTTAAAACTCAAGATATGAAGTCCATTTTTCCTTACTGTTACCATGTTAATGGTAACAGGAATGACAGTAACAGGATGGACGTTTCTCATATAAATCACTCATTTTTTAGTATAACGTACTCTTTTTGCATCATCGAGACATTGAAACCATTTCTTTGTAACTTAGTTAATATAATTGTTCTAGCAGAATAAACAATTTAAAGAGTACTTGCATATTATGAAGGTAACAGATAGAACATATTTTCATTATACACTACCAATAAGACAAACTTATCGACCTTTGAACCCTTTCTTTATTCACTTTCAAATCATGGCGCTCATAAACTTGAGACAACAGAAAATGATGATAAATTGTGGATCATGAAAACAGTTCCTAGGAAAGTGAGATAACTTTTATTTTAACATTTTCTTTTTGGTAACAGGAATGACATAAACTGTTAGGACATGTCACTTCCTGAATATTAAATGCATAAAACTAGTATTTAGTGGTCGGCATAAGTAAAACAATCATATCAAATTAATCTGTGAATGAATTCAGTTAATATGAGGTGCAAAATTTGTACATATCTACACAGGGTAATATTTTCCCTATCATTTAACTAAGCGCAATATAAAATTTCTGTTAATGTGACATGGTTTTACTGTTAATTTTTACTTGAAATGCATAGAATATTTTTTATAAAACACCTTGGAGATGATCACAAAATAACTTATAAGCTGTATGACCATGTATATTAACAAACGAGGAAAAAAATTTCACTCTAAAGAATATTTTTCCTATTATTCTGATCAAAAGACAAAAAAGTGAACTTTTATTGAAAATGACCCATTTATGATAACATGAACTCTATCAAAATCAGCAATTTAGTATTCAAAATGATCGTCTACATTCTGGCCCAAAGCCTTCACGTTCTTAAGTAAAGTTGTACATGGATGTGTAAACTGGATGTTTTGCTTCTTTTAAATACTCTTATGCAGTTGTGAAAAATCATCAGAATCCGGTGAATAAATACAAAAAGAAAATTGTATTGCTTGTAGGAGTACATGAAAGTGCTATATGAGCGAGCTGTTGCTTACCTGAATGTTGACTACGCAGTAGATTACAACTATGTCTTGACTGCTGGAACCAGTCCACTTCTGCAGGATTCTCTATATGAAGCTACTAAAATGGTAAGTAAACATGAAAATCGTGTAGTATTTCAGCGTGGTTCTGCATTTAAAGAAAATCTAAACACCACAAACCGAAGAGTTCAGATACCATGATAATGCAGCTAGAGTGTCCTTCCTTTTGATGCAAAACAGAATAAACAGAACTACAAAGTAAATGATATAATTTAGAATAGATTAAAAACATTGTTTACATCATGTAAAGTAGAGTACTAGAAAACGTTATTTGCATATATTTTACCAACGTAAATGTAAGTAAACAACAGAAATTCTGCTCCGTAATACTTCTTTGTCTTTAAATATTTTTTTCTCAGGAGAAATAAGGAAGCCTGTAATACTCTAATTTGAAAACCAAATATGTACAACTTTTCTTTAACCCCCATCCCCGCAATCACACATTTTAACGCATATACCTTTATCCTGCAATCACGCACTTTAACGCACGTTTCTTTTTTGACGTTTTCTGCTCTGATAACGCGTAAAGTTTTGATGGTATGAAAATAAATGATTAGATGATAAATTTTGTTAATCCATTCTAATATATTTCGCAAATAATATTATTTTTTCTCAATTTAATATGTCCGAATCGTTCGATTTATTGGACGAAACTTGGGATGCCAGACAAATTAGGTCTTTCTTGTGACACTAAATAAGCTCACCATCCACTGGTATGGTGATGTGGAAGTCACTCAATCTTGTGTGAGATGGGACCCTCCCTTGATTCAGAATTTATCGAATTCGACAAATGATATTTTTTATGTAAGTGTTTGATAAAAGCCCATGCAGAAATTGACAGACGGAACGTATAAAATTATAAAAGAATTTTTAAGTTAATACATACTCATACAACTTATGAGAAAAGAGGTTTTGTTCATAGAATACAGTTTTGTTCCAGTTTACATGTAATCTTATGTTACGTGTGGTCTCATGTACTCTTATTTCTTGTTCGATTTGAATTCAAATACGTAAAAATACAACCTGATTTTTTTTCCGCCTTACACAGCAATAAAAAAAATTACACATACACAAATAAAAAGGAACAGAAAAAAGGGACGACAATATCATGTTGAAAAAGAGGTGGATTTAAGTTTGAATGATTTCATTATCAAGTCAACGTTTCCGATATTGTTAAAAGAAAAAGTGTTGCACTTACTCGATCGTGTATCTTGATTTCTAAAAATATATGTATACATGTACATGTATACATAAAAGAAGGTATTCGGGAAAATTTCATGCAAGTATACTGAATACTTGTTTGATATTTTTTTTAAAAGGCAGAACAATCAAGAAGTCTGTGAGCGAATGCTCACCAATAATGCCCCGCTCTGATGTGAATTTACACAAGTTCAGTTACAGGCAGATGCAGGGAAAAATATGAAGTTCACATCGGATTCATATCCAAAAAAACCCACTATATGACATGTCTCAACAAAGATTGTGCTAAAATTTAAAGAATCTGCGATGAGAAGTTGCGTAGAAAAATGCGATAAAAATTTGTTACATGTATGTATTGTACGGACAGACGCACGGTTAAACAGGAAGTTGACATCAGATTTGAACAAAAATGAATACTACCATATGGCATGCCACAGTGACGAATGTGCTAAAATTTCAAGCATCTGTAATGAGTACAGCGTACTGCGACCAAAAACTTTGTTACGGACAGACATACAGCTAGACAGACGTCGGAAAAAAACACACAAGTGTAAAACAGTATACTCCCTCTCCTTCGCAGCGGGTATATGATTAAAAGACATATATCTACTGTTTAGTTTTAACAGTGGGTATATAGTCACTTAGGAATATTCCTTGATCCGCCTCGAGTACGTTTATATTGTCAGTATATTATTTAAAATATTCCCTTATCTGCCGCTTTCACATGTTTAAGAAAACATATATACTCTGTAGGAATTTCCGGCATTTTTTTCTTCGAGCAACAGTTAGCTTGTTAAATAGAATGAGTGATTATAAATTATATATGCATCATCACAGGAATGCTCAGCATTTTTTCATTTCATCACAGGAATGCTCAGCATTTCGGACATTTTTTTTTAACAAAGCTTTTGATGTCAATGATTTAACGGTATTGTTCAAAGATAATAATTTCTGAAAAACATTTTTCATCGTTGTTCCTTGATACAATTCCATTCCTTACAATAAATTAAAAACTGGACACCGTGTTTTATGCCCCGATGATTTGTATTGCTGGTCGTTTCTTTTTTTTTTCTCATCGATCACTGTTTGCTATCTCCGCCTTTTTCATTAGAACTTCCTTAACATAAAAATCTTCTATTTGTAAATTGTATTTTAGAATTAATATTTTTATCTCAAGGTTCCTAATCCAGACACTAGTAGTCGCGATAAAACTGTGTATGATGCCTGGAAAATAAGAGACGGTTCAGATGATGTGGAACCAAGGTATGAATTGTCAAAGAAATCGCCAAAGATTGTCAAAGAAAAATACTTTTCTCTCTCCAAAATATACTGATCAAAGTGTTGTGTCTATTTTAATCAATCAAATGAAGGAAAAATGGAGCATATAACATTTTTAGGAGAGTGTCTATATTTTAGGTTTTTAATAAAGTTTGTTAGAATATTATTTGTTTTCTCTTATTTAAGGAGTAATGCAACACCAAAGTTTTATTTAAGGGGTCTTTAAGACAACCATTTTAAATTATGGTTTAAACATTGAAACTGATGTCAAATAACATTTTGTTGTAGCATTCCTCCCTAACGTTGCTTTTGCTACACGTTTTCAACTTCCTTACTTTTTTAAAACCAGAAACTGCAATAATTTTAAATAAATAAAATATTTTCTTTTCTTTTAGCGTTTATTATTCCCTGGGCTCTGGTAGTGACATGGCTACATTTTATCAAAGAGCAGGAGTACCATGCATAGACATGTGGTTTACTTACGATTCGGTGAGAGTTTACTTATGATTGGTGACGATCTATAGATTCGTCTGAAAATAATTTTTGGTAGTGTTTTGTTTAAAACAAGTGAATACTTAGTACATGTGAAGTATTGTATTCAATGTTATTATCGACCCGTTTTAAATTTGCCTAAACACAGTTGTTGTAAAAAATGTTGCCTTTTTTGGATTTGCTCTCTTCTAAATTTATCCACTTTCAAGAAGGACGAGTGAGGTGAAAATAAAATGGGGACGAAAATTTACCAATTTACATTTTCTTTTTTTTTCCATACCCCAAATTTACTATACTTAACCATGCCATTTCAAATGAATTCGATATTCATACTTTCAATTCTTTTCAGAAAAAATGGGATATCCTTTCGTATCCAGTATACCACTCTGCATATGAAACAGTTTATTTATATGAGAAGTTTATTGATCCAAATTACGCATACTCGAAATCAATGGCTGAATTGTGGGGCATCCTAGCATGGTAAGAATGAAAATTAAAAATTAAACTCTTACTGTTATCTCATTTAAGTTAAAGCAATATGAGTTGCAACTTTGACATCAATCATTTTTGTTGCAATATTGTAATAAAATATTTAAATGACAGAAAAGAGGAACATTTATAAATTTCTATTCTTTATATTTCCGATGGAAGAACTATTTATATGCTTTGATTGAAGCAAAATTACATAATTGTCGTCTTGTACAATATTGATTTCTTATGTTATGCAATGTATTCCTTTGTAGAATTTTTTTATGAAAACCAAATAATTCTTTATATCGGTCTAATTAATATAATGGTTTAAATTCCATGCAGATTTATCATAATAGCATATTTTAACAGCAAAATTGATTTTTCCAAAATGCAGCTCATATTGCTCTAAACTTTTTAACACTAGTTATCACTGTCTTGAATTACTTACTATTCAACAAAATTTCTACCATCAACTTCTCTTATTCATACGGATACTGCAATGTACCAATATCACTTTCATATGGGTTTTTTTTTGGTCTCTTAACTAAATCAATACTTTTTTAAAAGAGTTTGCTCTTGGTACGAATAATTTTATACTGAGGCAGGCATTTTATAAATAAGATGATATCACATTGATTTAAACATCTCCGTAAAATTCAACATTTTGTAATTTTATTTTTAGGTCTTTATACTGATATTGTTTACAAACTAAACATATCATCGGGTTGTTTTGACTAAAATATTTTATACCAATTGTTGTTTATATGCTTAATTCAATTACGAGTTATTTCATACATATATATGGTATCTGATCAATATATAGGGCTCACAATGGATAATAAGTCAACAGGGACGGTTACTTCTTCTAGGCAGCTTAGCCTTAATCTGTTTGTTCCAAGACTCCATGTTTTCCCACTTTCAATTTTTATTTTTATTGTAGTTTTTAGCTCACCTGAGCCCTCACTTTTCAATTTGTCCGTTATTTTGTCGTTGTTGTCGTTGTTGTCGTTAACTTTTCACATTTTCATCTTCTTCTCAAGAACCGCTGGGTCAATTTCAACCAAACTTGGCACAAAGTATCCTTGGGTGAAGGGAATTCAAGTTTATACAAATGAAGGGCCAAGCATTTCTCCAAGTTTGTTAAAAATCATTTTTAAAAAATCCCCAGGGCCAAGGATGGGGCCAAGGTAGTGGCTCATGACCCCCGGGGCAAGTTTTTTACATAGGAATATATAAGAAAAATCTTTAAAAATCTTCTTCTCCAGAACCACTGGGCCAGGAAAGATGAAACTCATGTGGCATCATCCTCAGGTAGTGTAGATTCAAATTTGTTCAAATCATAGCCCCAGGGCCAAGGATGGGGCCAAAATGGCTGACCCAAGTTTTACATAGGAATATATAAGAAAAATCTTTAAAAATCTTCTTCTCCAGAACCACTGTGCCAGGAAAGATGAAACTCATGTGGAATCATCCTCAGGAAGTGTAGATTCAAAATGGCCTAGGTTGGAGCCAAAATGGCCGACCCAAGTTTTACAAAGGAAAAAATATGAAAAATCTTTTAAAATCTTCTTCTCCAGAACCACTGTGCCAGGAAAGATGAAACTCATGTGGAATCATCCTCAGGTAGTGTAGATTCAAGTTTGTTCAAATCATGACCCCCGGGGCAAGGGTGGGGCCAAAATGGCCGACCCAAGTTTTACATAGGAATATATAAGAAAAATCTTTAAAAATCTTCTTCTCCAGAACCACTGTGCCAGGAAAGATGAAACTCATGTGGAATCATCCTCAGGTAGTGTAGATTCAAGTTTGTTCAAATCATGACCCCCGGGGCAAGTGTGGGGCCAAAATGGCCGACCCAAGTTTTACAGAGGGATATATAGGAAATATCTTTAAAAATCCTTCTCCAGAACCACTAGGCCAGGAAAGATGAAACTCATGTGGAATCATCCTCAGGTAGTGTAGATTCAAGTTTGTTCAAATCATGACCCCCGGGGCTAGGATGGGGCCAAAATGGCCTACCCAAGTTTTACAGAGGGATA